TCAAAACGAAATAAAGGAAAATACAAATTTTTAACAGCAATAATTTTTTTATTAGTAATTTATTTTTTATGTTATCCTTTTCAGAACGTGAGAAAACTTTTTTATCTTTATTCATAACCAAAATAAATGATTAGTAATCAGACAACCCTTTTTCTACTTTTCCTTTACACTACGATTCGTTTCAGACCATTAACATTTTTGAGTCTCTTATTCTCTGCCGTGTATGAAAAGACGTCACCTGTCCGCCCAAATCATTGCTCGGCCGAATCAAAACTAGAACAAAGCCCAACTGAGTCAGGTTTTATTCTCTTTTAGATTGAGGCACGCACACGTAAGCGTCCGCCACACACAGACAGGCATGGCCGCCGCGAAAAGAAGCTTCTTCTTTGGCCGCCGAATTAGAGGGAGAGAAAAGATAAATTATCTTGATGGATGAGATGTGTTTCTCTCGGGCTGGCACCTCTCTATACACAAAATGTGCGCCGTGTTTGTGTAGGTGAAATCGGTACAAAGCGCCCCGGCGATGGTTAAAAAAGAGCCAAAGGCATTTCCTTTCATACAAAATACTGCCACTCCGGGCGTGTTATATATTTTAAGGAGCCGCCGACACACACAAAAAGTTATAAAAAAGTTTCGGCGGCAGATTCTGGCCCGCACATCTCTCTTATTATTCGACCTCCAAATAATGATTTTCCTGCAACGGCAGCCGCAGCATTCCGAAGAACGAGAGAGACACACATAAATTCATTTTACGCCGAGATATAGAGCCGCGATCTTTTCTGATTACGTTTGTGTGTGCATTGTGCGGCGGAGGGAATTTTCTCACTTCTTTTAATATGTGAATGGGGATTTTTATCTTGTTATTGTTGCCGTGTGTTATTTAAGGGTTATTTATGACGGGCAGCACATCCGACCAATAAAGATGAGGGCGGCGCTTTTCAATTTGCTTCACTCCAGTTATACAAATTCATTTCGTGCTGCGATAATAATTTTTCAGAGATTTTATCTCAAGATCAGTAGTCACCATACAATAAGAGGAATAACCAACATTCATTCATTTACTTAATATTAATTAAATTCTTAAATGAATAAAGAGCTGGTTTTTTTTTTGTTTTAATTCAAGAAAATTTGTTTATATAATTATTCTTTATATTTTATTCACTCAGTTTTCATTGTAACAAGAATTAAATGACAATCTTGATTTAATTTAAGAGAAAATTCAATTTTATTTAATTTTCATTTAGCGAGAGACGAAAATAATCCAAGGATTTCAGTCATTACAAAAACCACTCTACCCCTGATAGTCACTTATTTCTTTACAATAGCTTTATCATTGCATGACCGAAACCCAATTATGTTTCCTACTCTTCTCTCTCATTTCCCAATTTTCCTTGTTCCGCCGATTCAAACCCATGTTTTCTCACAAATGAAATCAAATGTCGGTTCCTTTGCTTTCTACTATATAGATAGGCCGCACGTTTCAGGTCAGAAAACACCCCCGTGAGAACAATGAAAGGTGTCTTTGTGCTGTTGGATTAGGAAATTTCCCTCCGAGAGAGCCATTACGCGGCACTGCACCTTTTTTTCTTCGGTCTCTCAGGTGGTTCGGGACCCCACAAATTGTCCCTCCCAAATTGCTTTTCCTCCTTTTTGAATTGAGTCATCAGCAGTAAATATAAAAAAATATTTCATTTCAACTGGCTTGTTTTTTAACACGCTGGCTGCTCACATTTCATTAAAAATGAATAAAATGCATCTCCCTCGTTTTGACCAATTTGGGCTCAGGTGCAAGTTTAACAGGCGCGCGGGTCAGCGCATCATTAGTGCTGCCACACTTTATACTTTAAAACCAGCAGCATTTTTTTCTCTTCTCTCTCCGGTCCATTCGAAGAATCAACGAGTTAATGAGGCTGTAATTGGAGATCCTTCTCATTCGGAATGCTGCGTGCGCACGCATCGGTGAAATCCGAGCAGAGCGTCCACCTTTTAACGAAAAAAAGGAATTCGAATAAGCTGTCGTGTGCGCTGTCGCCACAAAATGTGCGGCTTAATTGCAGGTTTAATGAGATTGCGGTGACGCTTACGAGATCAAAGAAAAATTACTCCACGTCGATCACAGAGCTAGAACTAATTATATCGAGACTTTAAAGGCGCCTGTAATGAACATCAGAACAACTTTTCAGTTTTAAATTCACCAAGTGTATAAATTTTGACTTGAAGTTTGTTAATTGTTTAGTATTTTTACAAAGTCTACAAAAGAGTTTTTAAAGTTAATGCTTCCTTTATTTGATTTTTATTTTAAATAATTTTTACTAGCTTCTATTTTGGGAGAATTTTTTTATGATAATTTGAAACAATTTTCATTTGTAATCATCTCCATTATCCACATTCTATATTTTATTATTATTATTGTAATTAACCTATCTCTAAAAACGTTAAAATTGAAATTCCTGCTCCACATTAAATTAAATTGTCTCAACCGGGAACATAATATCCATGCCTGAGGGAGCCCCGCGCTTAAAAGCCTAATTACACCAAAGTCAAACGAAGAAATTAATCCCGGACACTGATCTGCATTTAATTACATCAGAATGCCGGCAGCGGCTTCGCATCTATTCAGCCTTTCATGGGTCATTTCTGGAAAATTAATTACACTTCCAAATCTTTTTCAAAAGAAGAGAAGACACCCCGCCTAAAAAATGTTACAAGGAATAATAATGCAACGCAGAGACGTGCACGTGGGTGTAACTACGTACATAAAAAGAAAGAGAGAAATTAATTCCCATTTGGATCGAAGGATAAAAAAATATAACCAAATGATAAAAGCGGCCCGACACGTCATTTGAATTTTTATGTTTGAAAGTCCATACATGTTGTGCAGAGAGAGAAGAATTTCTTCCAAAGGGCGGATCCTCTAATTTCGTATATGCCTTCAACTTTAAAATCATCCTCCTTTGGAGCAGCGATGAAAATAAAAGGTCGCCCAAAGGTCAGACGCGCGATGGTGCTTTTTAGATCCTGATGCATTGTATGCCGGAATATGACTCACAAGTTGTAATATTTCAAGGGGAAAATCTTCTCCGGGATGCTGGGAAAGAAACAATACCTGATAAGTCTATTTGTTCAAACAATCCGTTCTCTGCTGAGAGTATAATTTTTTGGAAAGGGTTTATTACAGCGGCGGGCGCCTGTTTACTTTTTTGAGCTCGCTCGCGTATAATCAATTTTGGGCCACCCAACGAGAGCTCAGAAGGAGAAAAATCAACTGAAAGGCCCGCAGGTATGTGTGCTTTTTTGACTTGACGAGGGAGAAACGAAAATATTGTTGCGGCCGACACAGAAATAACACCGAATTTATCGAGATTCGGACTGCAAAGTCAAACAACTATGGCCAGCAGCTGCGTGACGGACTCCCTTGGGAGAGCAAAACACTCGACTTTTCCAAGTGGTTTTCTAACTAAGTGCTAAGGGATAATATTATAAAATAAGAAAAACGCCCTTTACAAAAATGCTTTGCACAGAAATGTTTTGATTAAGGAAATTCATGGAACTTCGTTTTTGAGCTCACACGTTGAATAAACAATGAAAAAAGTCAAAATTGTTATAATAGCTAATAGGAATTTTATCGTGGCCAAAAATTTTAAATGGAAATTGAGTTGAGCTTACAATACGCAATATATAAGAATTAGGATTTCTTTAAATTGAAATAAAAGATTTAAATTCTGAACTGCAAACCAAATTTCCCTCAAATTTAATTTATTAATTTCTATTCTTTTCGATCAACAATGAAAAAGGTTTCTTTCAATCAAAATAATTTGAAATTCCCAAGAGGATGATGCCGCGCAAATAAAAGATTATATCTCGCTGGAAAAAAAATTGAATTAAGTGTAATTTCATATTATTTTATTTCCTTCGCGCATGATTTGGTCTTTTGGGTCTTTCTTTTCATCTCCAGCAACTTAAGCGCAAAAGAACAAAAATGCATCTCACGAAACTCAAATCTCATTTCCCAGATTGCAATCTTTTACCACGGAGAGCAATTTCAGCATCAGAAAAAAAGCGCGACTCGGCCACAAATAAAGCAATTAGTGCAGCGTTCTCTTCCTCGCCATCGTCAAATATTCACCTCTCGTCAAATTACACGTTTCGGCGGCCCCAACATTTTCCACTTGACGATAAAAATCAGAGTGTGGCCAGCAAGAGTTGTAATTAACGCGGAGCACCACTCCGGCCGCAATTTTTTGAGAAATAAGTGTCAAAAAGCAAGAAGTAGTAAAATATAATTCCCTTTTTCTCTGGGCGCATCATTATTTTTCCATCATGTGACGTTGCATTTTCTCAAGCTCGTCATGGAGATGTGCTTGTCTTAAGTGCGCCCGCGACCTTTGCAGCTGCGCCACGGAGATTCCTCGAAAATCGCATCTCTCTGCGGCACTGCCGAAACATTGTTTTCCGCGCCGAGCGAGGGATAAAAAATAAAAAAAGTTCGCTTTTTATGACGAGTTGCAAAGAGCAATTTTTTTAAAAAGGTTCGCGCAGACAAATCGCTTTATTGCACTTTCATCACCTGCGTTTTTCGAGAAGAGAGACTTGAAAGAGACAATGCGCCGAAAAGTCGTGAAAATTCTCCCCAACGGATTTAAATTACTTAATTTTGTGCAATTAGGTGCAATAAACGTAGCACAATTGTTTTTGTCATCAGTCTTGAAATTTCCACCCAATTAGAGTGTCTGGCTTTTAATTTCACGGTTTGTTCAAAGACCTTTTTTAAAATGATAAGCAAAACTGTGAAATTTTATTATTTTTATATTTTTAGTTATAAAATATTGAAATTGAAATTCTTGTTATTTAAATATATAATTCGTTTTATAAATTCACTTTCTGATCGATTTCATTCATTGTCAGTCAAGATCATCCACGGTTGATCTTGAATTTCTACGCGTGAGAAAACAATCTCTCGCTGCTGCGCAGGTATTGAACCGATTGTTTTTTGCCGACAGGTGCCGCTTCCTGCTTCTTCGCGCCTGAGGTTCAAGGCGAATTCGTTATGCAATCGAGCGTGTCGGCCGAGTGGCAGGTCCAATACTCGCGGGTCAACATCACCGGCGAGTCCATCCCCATCTGGGGCATCTGCCACAAGCGCATCGGCAACAACGTCATCCTCATGGACGAGTAAGTATAATTTTTTTATCCATTAATTATTGCATGTGTGGAGAAATAAGGACTTCCGCACTCTTTTGCACCTGTTTTCGAGGAAAAAAACTGTGAAGACAGCGAGAGATGGTGCGTGTGGTTTTTGTTTTATTGCCATGTTCCCTTCGCGTGATGAGCAGCGAAAAGAAAAAAGGTGGAGAAAATTCTTATGGCGATCATCGACTGCAACTTTCGGCGGCTTTATTGCCAAAGTTGTAAAATAAAAACCACCAAAAAGGGCCGGATGGTGATTAAGATGGGCGGTTGTTTGCTAAAAAAATTATATTGGAATTGGTTGAAAGGAAATGGCTTATTATGCGGTTTTACTGAAAAGCTTTGATTTATTTTTCGCAATTATAATTTTTTTAATTCAGAAAGTGCAAATTTAGGCCATCGCAAATAAATAATGCACCATATTGTTGGCCGCTTGTAAAAGTACAGCAATTTTTTTTCTTTGTGCGAGTCTCCTTTGTAGAAACAATAAATCATTACACATCTCTTTCTCTCACGATTAACAACAACAATGACTGCGCGCGGCGTCTCTCTCTTGTCATTATTATTGTTGTGGCTTTTTTATTTCGATTAATGTGATAGGATCAAACAATAAATTACTAATGACCGCTCCGACTCACAAAAAAACCTTCACTGTGCACCATTGGCCCCTTTCTTTCTCCGCTCGCCAAGATCGTAATTGAAGATCTTCATTAAAAAGAACGTGTTGAAAAGAAGAGAGACAAAAAAAAATTGGTAAACGCATCAGCCATCAACTTATGTCTATTGTAGTGTATGGGTTTTATCTCTGGCTGAAAGGAATCAAATGATTGACGATTGGCATTGAAATTTAATTAGAGTCGTTAACTTTAATTGCTCAACTTGACTCAAATGGGTCTCTTTCAATTGCACTAATCGATTTCTAGGAAATTTAATTAGTAAAAGTTTTTGCAGAATGTTCAAATTGATAATTAAGTTTTTAATTTTCTTTAGCTCTGGCGGAGGAAATTGCTTCAGATGTTTCCACCTGAGTCTGCACTCAATCAACGTGCTCCAAGTTCGGACGGAGGGACTGGACAAATGTTACACAGCCGAGGACGCTGCTATCCACACTTGTCCGGGCAATAGCAAGAATTCAAACGACCTCCAGGAAATTCTCCTTTACAGTAAGTTTTGCAATTAAGAAATATACAAGCTTATGATTAATTTTAAATTTTTTTTTTAATGTTTGTGGTCGCATTTATTTAATTTTTAATTAAGCATTCAAATGCAAAATAAAGTCGTCGCCGCGACTCTCCACAAATAATACACCTGCATGACAAGACGTGCATGCCTCGTGATTCCTTTTTCCATCCATTCTTCTTGGCATGCATTTGATTCTGTGCTGTGTTTAGTGTTCGGGCAAGCGTGCCGCCGCCGCGTCGCGCACAACAAAGGGAATCTCTCGCGTTGAAAAGAGAATGAAAATATGTCTGCTGTATAAGTACACACACGTATCATTTCGCGCAAAACGATACGCCCAGCGCCTTCATTATGCGCCACGTTGTAATTGTAACATGCATTAAAACGGCGCGGACACGGCGTCATGCTCGCGTGTTGGAATTCTTGTAACTAGCAAACTAGCTTGTCCCTTTTTAACAATGAAGGTCTAGAACAGCTATATAATTCATAAAAATTTTAAAAGAAAAAAATAGTAAGAAAATGAAATATTATCATCATTTGTACAAAAATTGAATTTTTTAAAATTTTATTTCAATTTTTAGGTAATGTTTGACAGCTGTTGTCTAAAAATAACAATTAAAAAATTCGGAAATATTTACAAAAGTAATTAAAGAATTGATTATAGAAATTTTATCAAATACTTTGAAATTATGCAAATTTTATTCTCCGCTTTTTTATTGAAATAATAACAAAACGTTTATTGACTTAAATAAATTGAATAGTCAAACAACCTGTGCAGTGACTCATTTTCGCTGTTAAAGTGACAATTTGGCCGCACCTTCATGACTATATTTGAGAGTGCGTAATACAAGATGCATTGCTCAGCGTCTCTCTCGGCTTTTATTCTCGCTGTATAATTCTCTCTCCAATTGAAATTCCACGCACTCGCAGCGCGTTGAAATTTCATTGGAAACCGATTTGCTCGTCTGATACACTGGAACATGCTGACTGCACACGCGTGCTTTAATTGGTATGCAAAGTGGTGACGAAATAATGTAGTTAGGAGAGAGCGAAATAAAATATAAAAACCGCCGGCGCATCCTTGGGTATAAATTGCGCCTGATGAGCTGCCGCTGTTTGTTTTCAAATTGTTTATATCTCCGGAGGTTCAGTCAGCATCAATTTTATACAAACCCGCAGGTACGAGGAATGCTGCCGGTCAGGTGCGCGGCGCACACGGTGGCAATTAAAGAGACGGAGAATATAATACAATGGGGCGCTCAGGTTGTTCGGGAAGTTGAAATGGCTCGGAAGTTCTTAATTGAAATTTTTCAGAAAAGGGTTGAAAATTTTGAATACCTTTTTATTATTTTTCTTTACAATATTTATTCTCCAGTTAGTTAATATAAAATATTTATCATTGAAAAAATCTGTATTTGATTTGATTTAAATTTTGTTTAATTGACATTTTAATGACTCTCCCACGGCAGCTGATTTTTAACAATGAAGACGTCAATTAAGAACGCAGAGGCATGATAAACAGCCGATTATTTTCCTTTCCAATGAACTTGCACAACTATATATAGCTCAAGAGATTGAAAAGCTTCTATTTTATTTGAAATATTAGCAGTTGTACGTTTTCGTCCGTGACCCTTCTTTATTCTTTCATTTCAGTCTCAAGATCATTGCTCGCTTGTAAGATTTGACGAGTCAATTTTTTTTTATCTCGGCTGCACGCTGACATATCAATCAAAAAATCCAAACAAAAGAACAAATCCGTTTTTGGTTTTGTGCCGCCCACCCACCAGGACCCGCGGCGAGGTCCCGATTTCCGCCGCTTTTTGTCTTAATCCCGTCCAGTCAGGTGGAAATGCTCGAGTGTGTTACGTGATTATTATTATACTGCCGAGAGCTGCTCACGTCAACCAGCAAGGAGCAATGAGATTGGATTTCCGGATGTGGCCTCACCGCAAAATCCATAACGCCGCGCGTCGTAAAAAAGAAGTCGTATAAAAAAACCGTCCGAGTGGTTGTATATGAAAATAAGACGCTGAACTGGTAAAAAAAATGAAGAGAGAATATAAAAAAGAAGCATACAAAAAATTAAAAGAAGGTTCCAAATTGCCAAACCAAATCCCTAATTTGCATTTCAAATTATTATTTGCTTAACGTATGAGGCCGTAAAATGCGCCCAGTTCTAAATTTAATGATATTTTTATGAGAATTTTTTGTTTGGTTTGAATAAATTAAAATTCCAAAACTCTTAGTTCATTGACTTTCAAATGAAACCTTTGAAAATCTTAAATATTGGAAAGCCTTTTTTAAATGATTTAAATACGTTGTTTGTCACTAATTCTTTTGGAAAGTAACTGACAAATGGTGCAGTTTTACAATTCAATTTTTTCATGTATGACTTGAGTAGAATAAACAACAACAACAATAATAATAATTTTATCTCTTTTGAAAATTTTAGATCATACTCTGTTAATTAACAAACAAAAATATTAAAAAAATAAACATTTTTTTCATTTGAGTTTATAAATTTAGATAATTGCAATCAACTCATATAGAAAAACACCAAAAAGTCATCTAACAGCTTCAAAGATTTTTGTATTAATTTTTATTGTACGCACGTGGCCTTGGTTTTTCCGCATCCTTTTGAACTTTTCGCACTTCTTGCGTCACTCGTGTAACTTCTCTCGCTATTCACGGACACCGAACATCACTTTCCGCCAGTTTGTTTTCGCAGCGCGGCCAATTAATTTCGCCCCTTTCGCGTTTTCGTCTTTCGGCACCTCGTTTCCGGTCCCAGAGCTTCTTCTTTTTCTACACAGTTTTTGCGGCGAAAGAAAAAAAAGCTAGGTGGCGATGACTCTTTCACCTCTAGAGCTCCTGCTTTTTTATAATTGCCCGACTCCAAATCACGATATATCTGAATCGCCTCGGGCTCTCGCCGTAAAGTATAAACACAAAAAAGCAGCCGGCAGCACGCGAATCCGACTGCTGAGACGACCAGTGTGTGTTTTATGATGATAAATATATATATACACGCTCGTTTATTTATTTCTGCTGGTGTCTGCTATAGTTTCCAATGTTTATGATTAATTCAGAAAAGTGGTTGAAGAAGAGAGAGGACGTCGGCGTTTCCGCCGCTTTTCGACTGCACGATCGTGTTTCACGCAAAAGGTGCGGTTCTCCAAAAAAACGGAGACGCGTGTGTGCTTTTTGGTGAATGGACATTAGATGATCGGCAACAGGTGTTCCTATATGCGTGCGTGTCTGAAAATTTGATACACACGAAAAATTGCGTGGAATGAAAATAATTACTAAATTAGTTTTTTCTTTCAATATCTTTCTATTTTTATTAAAAATGAAACGCATATATTAAATTACCCTTTTCATTCATTTCACCAGGGGTCTAATTCTGTAAGATAGAATCGTCCCATTTCCATTTCTATTTCATTTTCCATTTGCTTACCCATTCCATTTCGTCGCCTTTTTCGATAACGACTTCTATTTCGCTGGCCATTCCATTTCCATTTCTATTTCGTTGTCAATTTTAATAATTGAGCCATATTTATATTTATATATATTTATTTATATTTAATTTAATTATTGCATATATTATGCGCTTACATTAATTTTCAAACGATTTTTAATATACTCAAGTCAATAAAATGTATAAAAAATTATATCAATAAGGCGTTGAGTCAAAAGTACCTCAGTGTGGGAGCAAATTGTGGTACCACAGTGTGGGAGCAAATTGTGGTACCACAGTGTGGGCAGGAATTGTGGTACCACAGTGTGGGCGGGAATTGTGGTACCACAGTGTGGGAGCAAATTGTGGTACCACAGTGTGGGAGCAAATTGTGGTACCACAGTGTGGGCGCAAATTGTGGTACCACAGTGTGGGAGCAAATTGTTGTACCACAGTGTGGGCAGGAATTGTAGTACCACAGTGTGGGCGGGAATTGTGGTACCACAGTGTGGGAGCAAATTGTGGTACTACAGTGTGGGAGCAAATTGTGGTACCACAGTGTGGGAGCAAATTGTGGTACCACAGTGTGGGAGCAAATTGTGGTACCACAGTGTGGGAGCAAATTGTGGTACCACAGGGTGGGCGGAAATTGTGGTACCACAGTGTGGGCGCAAATTGTGGTACCACAGTGTGGGCGGAAATTGTGGTACCACAGTGTGGGCGGGAATTGTGGTACCACAGTGTGGGCGGGAATTGTGGTACCACAGTGTGGGCGGGAATTGTGGTACCACAGTGTGGGAGCAAATTGTGGTACCACAGGGTGGGCGGAAATTGTGGTACCACAGTGTGGGCGGAAATTGTGGTACCACAGTGTGGGCGGAAATTGTGGTACCACAGGGTGGGCGGGAATTGTGGTACCACAGTGTGGGCGGGAATTGTGGTACCACAGTGTGGGCGGGAATTGTGGTACCACAGGGTGGGCGGGAATTGTGGTACCACAGGGTGGGCGGGAATTGTGGTACCACAGTGTGGGCGAAAATTGTGGTACCACAGGGTGGGCGCAAATTGTGGTACCACATTGTGGGCGTAAATTGTGGTACCACAGTGTGGGCGGGAATTGTGGTACCACAGGGTGGGCGGAAATTGTGGTACCACAGTGTGGGCGGAAATTGTGGTACCACAGTGTGGGCGGAAATTGTGGTACCACAGTGTGGGCGGGAATTGTGGTACCACAGGGTGGGCGGGAATTGTGGTACCACAGGGTGGGCGCAAATTGTGGTACCACAGGGTGGGCGCAAATTGTGGTACCACAGGGTGGGCGGAAATTGTGGTACCACAGTGTGGGCGGAAATTGTGGTACCACAGTGTGGGCGGGAATTGTGGTACCACAGTGTGGGCGGGAATTGTGGTACCACAGGGTGGGCGGAAATTGTGGTACCACAGTGTGGGCGGAAATTGTGGTACCACAGGGTGGGCGGAAATTGTGGTACCACAGGGTGGGCGGGAATTGTGGTACCACAGTGTGGGAGCAAATTGTGGTACCACAGGGTGGGCGGAAATTGTGGTACCACAGTGTGGGCGGAAATTGTGGTACCACAGTGTGGGCGGGAATTGTGGTACCACAGTGTGGGCGGAAATTGTGGTACCACAGTGTGGGCGGAAATTGTGGTACCACAGGGTGGGCGGGAATTGTGGTACCACAGTGTGGGCGGGAATTGTGGTACCACAGGGTAGGCGGAAATTGTGGTACCACAGGGTGGGCGGAAATTGTGGTACCACAGTGTGGGCGGAAATTGTGGTACCACAGTGTGGGCGGGAATTGTGGTACCACAGTGTGGGAGCAAATTGTGGTACCACAGGGTGGGCGGGAATTGTGGTACCACAGTGTGGGCGGAAATTGTGGTACCACAGGGTGGGCGGGAATTGTGGTACCACAGTGTGGGCGGGAATTGTGGTACCACAGTGTGGGAGCAAATTGTGGTACCACAGGGTGGGCGGGAATTGTGGTACCACAGTGTGGGCGGAAATTGTGGTACCACAGTGTGGGCGAAAATTGTGGTACCACAGGGTGGGCGCAAATTGTGGTACCACATTGTGGGCGCAAATTGTGGTACCACAGTGTGGGCGGGAATTGTGGTACCACAGTTTGGGCGCAAATTGTGGTACCACATTGTGGGAGCAAATTGTGGTACCACAGTGTGGGCGCAAATTGTGGTACCACAGTGTGGGAGCAAATGGAGGTACCACAGTGAGGGCGCAAATTGTGGTACTACATTGTGGGAGCAAATTGTGTTACCAAAGTGTGGAATCAAATTTTGGTACCAAACAGCGCATGCGATGAATTAAATAATATAAAATACATGGTTGCTAATTTGCTAAAAAAAAATATTATAATTGTATTTCAATTCAACCAATTTTTAAGAAATTGATTTAATTAACTTCGTGAAAGGAAAAATTATCTTGATCCCCTCTAATTATGAGCCATAAAAAGATTCGATTAAAAGGGGGTGCGAGAGACATATAAGAATTATAAATATACATTTTCATTGATAATTAAATAATTCATATAATTTTATCAACCTGAATATTAAAAACCATTCGAAGAGCACTGTAAGCATAGGGAATAATTAAATTAAATATAAATAAATAAATGGCTCAACTATTAACATTGACGACGAAATAGAAATGGAAATGGATAGGCTGCGAAATAGAAGTCGTTATCAAAAAAGGCGACGAAATAGAATGGGTAAGCAAATGGAAAATGAAATAGAAATGGAAATGGAACGATTCTATCTTACAGAATTAGACCCCAGCTGAATTTTAATGAGACAAACCCCATTATCAAATTACGGCCTCGGTGATTAAATTTGACTTTCGCCGCGTCAGCTAAGGACAAATGAGAAAAGCGTCTCGGGGAGAACGTGCTCGCTCACCTTAGTGAAATCCGAGACGCATTCGTCCCGATATTTCATATTTTCTGGTGTCACCTGGGCCCAGTTTTCTTTTCTTATTTCCCGAGACAATACTCTCTCGAATAAGCCAGTTGAAAACACAAAGCCGGAGTGAGTTTGGGTTTCACCGAGGCGTCTTGAGTTTCGCGTCTGCCACTTTTCAGATCGTTATATATTTATTAACGCGCTCTCCAAGCTCAATTTTTTTTATATAAAATAAATGACTACTTTCGTTTCAAATACGAAGATTAAGCTGGAAAGAGGATCAGCCAGTTTATTAGTGCCTTCGAAGTAATGTGAGAGTTATTTATTTTTTATTTGGAAGTGACATCACGGACACGAAATTAACTCGCAACAAAATGTGTTTTTTATAAGGGACATAAATTATGCGCTCACCTTTGTCCTCTTCCAAACAGAGGTGTGTGTATTAATTTTTCTAAATATCAGCAGTTTTCAAAAGAGGCAGAGTCACCCCGTATTTTTAGAAATGGCTCTCTCCTTTTTTTCTTTCTTTCGATCGGAAAAAAACCCGCCTCTTTTTTATCGGCTTCGGAGAACCCAGTCGCGGTCGGTGATTTGTTTATTTGTTTTATTTGCGAGGCGCAGCGAACACGAGTGCCCACGTGAATATTAATGACCGTGAGCGAGACATTCTTCTCTCACAAAACAATGCTTGAAAATGTTACATGCCTGCAAGAAGTGCATCTCACCAACATTGTGCGTCTTCCATTATAAGGCGGGTCATTATTATTATCATTTTAATACTCGCTTCTTTTCGAAATAACCTCCGTTTCCCTCGTCCATTGTTGTTGTTGATGTTGTGCTCATTAGTATGCAGGCGGCAACAATGAAAGGGTGATGACAAATCGGGCTTTTTTCTGGAGCTGCCTTTGTGACAAAAAGAGTGCCGCGTGCAACACTTGTTTTGTTCAAACAAATGGGCTTCCCTGATGGAGTTGTAAAATATTTAAATGTTGGCTAAAAGCATTTTAAAATTTTGAAATTGACCAGATTTCCGCGAATTTTATAAAGATCTGTAAATTTCTGGTTGTGAGTGAAACTTAATCCAAAATCAAATCAACTAAAATTTTAAATTTGCTCAGCAAAGCAATAATATTTATCAAATTAGAAAAAAACTCCAGTGATGGTTAATAAAAATTAAAATTCATGAAGATTTCAATTCATTTTTATTAAATCGAAATAATTTATAGCTAATAAGTCAACTTCTTGTCTGTTTAACATTTTCTTAAAATTTAAATTATAAATTGCAAATATTTCATACGTGCGTATTTTTTCTGTTTGCAGAAACTAAGCAAATTTCCGGCGAGGACACAAAACAAGATTTCTGTCCCATCAGTGGCCGCTACACATTCACATACAACCTGAACGAAGGCACGGAGGACAGATCCGAGTGTCCTGAGCCCTTCTCCGAACTGGACAACTGCCCGCGCGGCTCCGAACTCAACGTCAAGTTTCGTCGGTGCTCGTTCGAGAACCACGGTGAGTAAAAAACGAGCGAGAGTGAGTGACGTGCCGAGGGATAATTAATTCAGAAGAGAGGCGCGCTTATCTGGGAATTCCGATCGTAATTAAAAAGCAAACAAGTGCCGCCCTCGTATAAATGTGAAAATGGACGCTTGAAAGCAGAAAGATCGATCAATCAGTGAGAGCAGGGATGGAAATTGGTCTCGGGAGAAAAAGAAAGAAATTATCGTGAGTGATGGAGCGGCTCCTTTGCGAATTTTAATTACTTTTTTGCCGCATGGCCGCTAATGCATCGATCGGAGCCAGTTTTTAATCTCATTAAATATTATTATATATACCTCTCTTGGCGCTCAATTTAGAATTTATATAGAGGAGCCTTTCTATTAATTAAATAATTAAGCTTAAAAATCAAATCTTGAGTTTAAAAAAAAAATTAAATATTGGTATTTTTAATGATATATTTAAGCTTTTTATTGTTATATTCTCATTTTCCTCAATTTATTGTATATTAAAAATATTTTCTACAAATTTTCAGACATTAAATTCCAATGCCTTGGTCACTGGACTGGCCCTGGTCGCCAGAAGTACCTGGCCCTGCTGGACACAAGATCAGATGGCGGACGCAGAGCCCAATACAGATGTGCCGTGAGTATATATTTTATTTCGCAAAAGACACATTATTTCGCTTCTCAAACTGGCCGAGTGGCTTTTTACTTAAAAAGATTGGAGATTACGACGAAAAGGCGTCATCCGTTAAATTCCTATTTGAAACTGCTTTTTATTAATTATTGCAATCAAGAGTGTCTTTCTCATTCGTGTATATTGAAAAAATTTGAATAATGACAAAATCCAGAGCGAGTGGGTTGTTATCGGAGTTCGATTAAAAGTTCCGAGAAAAAATCAAACCGGTCCGCCGGCGCGCCACCGCGCATAATGAATTTTTATCACTCGCTCGATTTACGAGCTGGAGATTTCGATGCTCGCATTATTAATGTCCGTAAACAATAAAAAGCTCGGCTCGTGTCGCCGCCGCTTATCGCGGTGGCAATTTATGGGCCGAGTAGTGCCTCTCGCAGATTATAAAATTGTCAGCGCATAGCTCTCGCCAAAGGCATATAAATTTGCTTTTGAAAGCCTATGAGACTCGCTGGTTTGCAATGACTTCATTAGGAATCATCATTTAAAAATGAGGCAGCTCGAGACTTGGGAATGTAATTAAAATTCCCATAAAATTATTTTTATTATACTTTTGATCATCATTTTTCATTGTGGATGGGTTAATCTGCAGATTTAAAATTTATTTTATTATTTAAGCCCAAAATTTGTAGAAGTTGAAAAATAAAGTCTGCTAAACTTTTCATCAATTTGATTGTCTTATTTTTGTGTTTACAAGAATATTTGTAGAGGTAATTTATTGTTTTTTCCGCTTAAAAATCAAATAAAATTAGCAAAGCAAATTTCGAAAGCTTCGTTAGTAAAAGTTATGAATTAAATTCAGATTAAGTTGTAGCGAAATGAGTTGCAAATTGCCCGAAATCCGGTTAGGGAATTACGCTGTGGAATCCCGCGGGGCGATTCGGACGCAAATATTTGCACTTGTCTGGCAGAGGAAAATAATACAATAATGGCAGCGGGGCCTAATAATAATATGCCCGGATACACGTGTAAGCGGCGCCAAATCGACGCGAGTTAACAAGAAAAGCGCGGCTAAGTGCGAAATTCTTATTCGGAGCATGTTTGGCCGAGCGATGCGCGCCGCAATTATTCCGCACAGACCCTTGTAATTTTCCGAACAAGTGGTCGCGCCGCCTCGCTGCGAAGAGCCACACGGTAATTTATTTACGCAGAGGAAAAAAGAGGCTGGCAGTTGCTTAGGCGTGGTCACTCGCATTCTTGCACCGGGGCGGCTCGGAATTCGCAAAACACCGACCGGCAACGTGTGTGATGGGCATTATTTTATGTACGTGTGTGCTCACATAGGGGTCTTCTTTTTATTATTATTCCATCTCTTGTTTCTCATGCTGAGAGAGAAAGAGACTTTTTGCTCCGTACCCATCTCGGCTGGCTGCTCGCCAATGCTGCAAATTAATGCGGTTTCCTGTTATTGACAAATTTATTGAACTTTAGGTTTCAAAGCTTTATTTTTCAACTCCTTGCTAGCAACTTCTGTTGCTTGCATATTGTAAAGTCAATCAAATAAATTTGTACCTAAAGAGCCTTAATTTTCAGCAGAAAAAGTTGCCAAAATTCAAGAAAATAATTTAACAAACAAAACTCACTAAAAATAGGAACTATCAATTGAAATCGAAAGCAAAATACGTGGTTTTTAAATTAATTTCAAAATAATAATCCTGCAGAGGCAAATGTACAAAAAAATTCATTAACTCTCATTAGACAGCTCGGAATGCGAATTTGCATTAATTAAAAGCAAACAAATCCACAATTTTTATTCTCTCATTCCTGTCCAGGTGGCAGAGGAGCCACAAACCTACGAAATTTATTTCCGCGAACCCACTCTGATAAAATCAACGGCCGCACTTCAAAGAAAGCGAAACTTGTACATACGAACTCTCATTTGGAAATTTGCATAATGTTGGCAGTTGTACGAGGAGGACGCTCGCAGCGGCGTGATCAGGATGGCCTTTTCCAGCGACTCGACCTGCACCTCCGGCCTGACTAGCGCGACCAGAGGCTTTGAGACGATGGTGCTCAACCCGGTGCCCAAAACCAAGTGGCCCTACCCCGTCGAGACGAGCAACTGCCAGTGAGTATTATTTTATAACGTCAAATTATCCCAACCTGCTGTGTATTTGAAGGCATTTTGATGACCCGCTCCTTTTTTGCCACAACAAATGACCACAGCATTAATGCGACACACTAGATGTATAAATAATGGGCCACTAATTTTACCAGAGAATAGTGGAATGTGAGACATCTTTATTTGAATTCTGACCTCTATTAGCATAAAAATATAATAAAAAAAGGAGATGAAGATGTCTATTTATTTTATAGATTTTTTTTTTTTAAAAACAAATCTGTAAAATAATTAGGCACTTTCAGAGGTCAAATTAAAAAATGCCGACGCAAATAATAAACGAGCACACGCACGCGGGGGTTATTTATTGCGGGTTGAGCTCATTACTTTTATTGCAGCTTCCCAAGATGGGCACAAGGACACTGGGAGAATCTGCACGTGAACGGCAACCAGCTCACCTATCGGGACCAGAAGTCATTCCACGTCTCCACCGTCAGGTGCGTCGGCAACAATTTAGGCGACGACAGCGAGAAGTTCGGCATCTACACCAGAAACCAGTGGTCAGTATTCCCAGAGAGAAACAAGCGATGAAAGAAAATCCATGAATTCTATAAAGAGATTAAAATTTACTGTTTAGAAATTATTTACTAAATAAATTTTCATAATAATTTTAAACAAGTTTTCATCTTTTAATAAAAAATAATTTTTTTTTTTAATTTTCATACCTTTTTTTGAATTTGAAGCAATTTGAACCCTTTTTTCCTAATTTCCAGTGGAGAGGACCGCTACAGTTGCATGCAGATGAAGAAGCGCGCCAACAACGTGATGGAGTTGAAAATGAGTGAGTTTGTTCTTCATTCCTTTCCATTTCATCCTGGCTCTTCTCTTAATTTGGATGTCGGCCAATTTACCTGCCCCGGCATGTCGCGTAGGCGTCCGCGAGCCATTTCTGCTCTCTTGTACATACCTGTTTCTGCAGCTTTCCGCAGAGCGTGCTTTAAAATTCCTGGTGAATGTATTTTTCGCCCGGCGCAAAAGAGAACGAGACGGTGCAAAAACACACGCTCTCGTTCGAATAAATATCGAAGCCTACGCGAGCAATCTGAAATTAGCTTTTCTCGATCTTATCTCTCTCAGAACGCTCCGCCCAGAGGAAAAATAATAAGTCTTTGTTTTTCCAGGCCAACTCACCAGCGACAGCTTCAAAGAAACCCTGTGCATGGACAATGCCTTTGACCAAACTGGATCCGCATGGCAAACGCAAGGAAGTGAGTATTGGATTTAATTAATTTTATTAATTATTTTGTATTTGAAGTCGGACATTGCAATTTTTGTAATTTACTGAAGCTTTTATAAAAAATTTAGATGAAGTGATTTAAGTATTTAAAAAATATCTATATATTTTAAGCAGAAAGCGAAAAATTTGAAAGAAAAAAGAAATATTTAAATATTATAAATATGATTTTTTAATAATATTTTTGATAGAAAATCTTTACAAATATATGAAAATTTGAAATGTATTTTGTATTTTGCTTCAATTCTGAAGATGGATATTTTTTTCTAGGAATTGACATTATGCAAGAATCTCCTTGTCCAATTTCCGGCGAGTACCTGGGAATGATTCCGGACATTGACGGCCTCTGCGCCAAACTCTACTCAGATTGCAACAACCCTGAGATCATGTTCTTTACAGTATTTGACTGCTCGATGCCTACAGACGTTTTCGAAGGTGAGTTTGATAAACTGTAAAAAAACCTATCAATGCATACTTGTAAATAACTAATTAATCTGCTAACTAAAAAATTTAAATAAAACTAACATGGGCTGTCATGGGGACGCATTAACATTTTGCAGCTCGACAGCCAGTGCGCATCCTGTCTCGGTGGAGGCGGCAGCAGCCGCGGCGAATCTTCCATATCTCCGACCCTCGCCCCGTGACCTCCACCCCCGTTCCACCCTCTTCGACGACACTGACCCCTTCCACCTCGGCGGCTCCGTCGAGCACAGAGCCGTCCGAGCAAATCGCAAATCCCGCTCAGGAGAAACTTTTCGACGACCCACCCCCGAACAACCCTTACGACAACCCTCCGCCACCCCTTCCGCCGGAGCACTACGACAACTCAGGCTATCCCCTTCCCAATTACGGATACAATTATCAACCGCGGTCGTACGGCGGCTACGGTTTTAGCCGTTTTGACCACCTCCAACCCCGTAACTTCAACCCCCCACCCCCGTCCCCACCCCCGACCTTTGACGATGAAGTCTATGATCCGTGGACATTTCCCCGAACCCACGGAAACTTGAGCAGACCCTCCTGGCAAACTCCTCCACCTCGTCTGCCACCCCCTCCGCCAACCACCCCTATGCCACCCCCTCCCTTCCAAAGACCTCAGAGAATCAACCCTCTTCCGACTAAAAGAGAAGGTACTTGTCTGATTGAGACAAGCAAGGCACGATTTTTGTGTGTGTTAATTTTGTGTCCAGCACTAATTTTTTCCAGCAGCAGAGCACCGTTGGCAAATTTTAATTTTCACCTTTCCACCCTTTTTATTTGCATGCATCATTGTTGTATTGTGAGCACCGCTTTTGTATGTTAATTAGCCTTAGGAACAAGTTTTTATATTTCGCAACAAATTATTATTTAACACTCTCACAAATTATTACGCAACGCCCAGCATCGTTTATTGTTTTTTTTTTCACATCTTTGTCACCTCGTTTTGTTGTTTAATAAAATCTCTGTATTTTTTCTGACGCCGGAATTTTTATGGTTTGCAGAGCGCGAGTACAGGTGTTTGGGCCAGTGGGAGGAAAACGGCTTCACTTACACCTACACCCAGAGAAAGGATCTGGGCAACAGTTACGAGTGCTTCGTCGGTCTCATTGTGTCCAAGGACGAAATCTACATCAAGGAGGCCGGTTCGCACTGCACCCGTTTCAAGGACATCACAGTCAACGGAATGCGCCTCTCAAAACGTGGAGAAGGTTTGATTTTCTTTTCTTTCATTCGTTTTCTTTTAAACTCTAGTTTCATTCAAAATCGAATTTCAATAATTAAAAAAATCAGACGTTGAATCTCCAGTTTTCTTTAAATTTAAGATTTTTTATGTAATTTCATATTGGCACAGTCGCTAATAAATTTGTGGAACACGTTTTTAATGAGACATTGGCATTTTTTGCAGCAGTCCAGTGCCAACCAAGAACAACCACCCCTTATTCGCCAAGGGTGCCTTCTATGAGGCCTACAAGTCCGACCACCTCGTGGTTCTCCAGCAAACTGCCCCAACCGACGCCAACGAAGCCTTGGAAGCCAATTACAGGTAATTTTTTACAATACCAAAAATTATTAATTTAATGAAGAGAAAAAAAATCCAGAATGACTTCTTTTTTAATAAAACTAGCAATTAAAAAAATTAATTTATGAAGCTAATTGTTATTAAAATAATCCATAGCACGGAATTAAAAAGAAAATATCTGAAAAATTGACTTATTATTTGAGTTATCAAAATAAGCATTTTAAACGTTAATAAACAAATTACTATTAAATTGACCAATCTAAAATTTTATGAGTTCAAAATAACAGAGAATTAATTGTGTTAAAATGTAATTTCAGCGCCTCCAAAGACCCAGGTGAAGAGTGGGGTGTCCGTGGTGGTGCCCGGCTTCGTCAGCTTCCTCCTGGCCACCGGTTTGCTGCTCTTGCGGGCGCTGTGCTGAACACAACCGTCCCCTGGTGGCACCGCCGCGAACTGCATACCACACTATGCACAGTGATGTGTATTCCGTCTGTGATTAATTAACTAACTAATTAACTGCTGATTAACTGTTGAACGACGAGCGCACGAATGATTCAGTCTTTTTCAAGATAAAACAAAGACGAGTGGAAACAAGAAACTGATGTCAGCTCAAATGCCAAATTGCGACTTATTTAATCTTTAAATAATAGAAGAATATATTTTGTAATATATGCTGGACTCTCGCTAATACATCTGAATTTTGCCTTGGAATAAGTGTTTGTAATTTGCCGTTTTTCTTTCCCCTCGGAGTGAAAGTTTAAGTATAAATTCAGACTCGCTCTGGGAAATCAACCTTCTTATGTTCAGTAAATGACCTTTTTATTTTAATTTTTGACAAGTTATGTCAAACTCTCTTGGTTGTATTCCTCATTTCTGCAGCTTCAGTACTAATCCAGCAGCTTTTCGAATGTTAACGAAAATTTAATTCTAAATGGGAAAAATTACTCGTGCCTTCTCTCAGGCTGTTGCTTTTTAAATAAACGACCATTAGCGGAAAAGCGCGTTTTCCGCGACCTGTATTATTTTGATTTTTGTTAGTCATGTGTTTGTATGTATCATTGATTATTTTGTATTGATGCCGATTATAAATATTGTAGCATTATTACTGTTTCATGTATAGTCAAAGCAATAAATTATGAATTAAAAGATAAAAACTAAAAAAAGCTGTATAATTTCATTTTCTGTAAATGTTGCTTAAGTTGGGTTTGAATGAAAGCTCCGAGAATGAAAGTAGATTTTCAGAATGGAAAGAAGGGCGCCGCCTGTCAAACATTTTTGCTGAAACTTTTCTGTCTCCAGAGGAGAATCCAAAATAATCACATTTGACAAAGAACGGCAGATGAAAGGATAAAAAAATCCTCCCTAATGGAACTGCCACTTTGCATTAGCTTTGATTTACTAATTAATTAATTTCTGCTTCCCAAGTTTTAAGAGAAAGAGGAATATCACAAAAAATATAACAGGAAATTGTGATGTAGAGAGCTGAGATAGAAAAAGGAAAAAAAGCATTTTCTGATATATCACAGTCTGGCAAAGCAATTGAAACTTTTGTGTTTGAGGAAGCTTTTTTCTCTTCTTCCTCTTTCCAATCCACGTTTCGCCAACCTATCTCTGTTTGTGTGGTAAGAGGTTGAAATACCGATCGGCGAGAGTGATCACAAGACTGCTCACAATAGTAAAACGTGCACACGTTCGCAACACATAAATACGATCTTGGGCGAAAATATTGGCAAACAATCCGTGCTCCAATAATGCATTCTCGCAGCGACGGGGATTGCGATGTCAAAATAAATCTGTTTTCCGCCCTACTTCTACGCTGGGAGCATATTTGTATTTATTGCTTTCGTAGAATGCTGTTCACTTAGTTTCCATTTGCAAATATGTGACACGTATCTTCTTTACTTCACTTGCAGAAAATGCATTTGAAGAGAACGCTTGATGCAATACACTTGGCAAGTTAACGATATATAAAATTTGATTATATTTATGGATTTTCTTTTTTAATTTAATTTTATAAGTAAAGAATGTTGTCATTGTTTTCTAGATTATCTCACATTTATCCAAATTTCAAATTCGTGATTTTTCCTGATTTTTGACTGGACCTTGACTTTCAAACCGCAATTTTTGCTTTCAACCCAGTTCAACCCTGGTAGCTTTTAGTTTTCTGTGTTTTTTTTTCATTATAATTTTGAATATTTGGATGATGTAGCTTGTTATAGGCAGAGATTGGTACACCGAAAAACTAAATTTGCAACTAATTCTTGCAGAATAACTTTTTATGTTTAAAAATTAGGGTCCATCAATAAGAATTTAACTTTTAATAATAGAAAAATTTAAATAATAAAAGCTAAAGGTCAAAAAAATCGTTATTTTAAAAAACGAAAATAAATTAATTTACAGTTTTCCTCCTAAATTATTATTGTCTCTAGATAAAAATAAGTACCTTACACTGATTTAAAATAATGTAGTTTGCAATTTATATGCATATTGTCTTTATCAATTTGCATTCAAATTCCAAATTTCCATCAATTCCGTTCCACCTCCGGCCACTTCATCTCTCCTTTTGAGAGTCTCGTATTCATCCCGTGGTCAACTGTGTGACCGCGCTCTTGACGTCGAACAATCAAGAGGAATTGAATAGGGGTGCCGCGTGCTTTTACGATTCCGTCCCATATGAAATGCTCGGACCCTTTCTCGAATTGAACTGACAGAGAGTGCCATACATATAAAAAATACAAAAACCGAAATCAAAAAGAGGAAATCCGAGCGGCTTTGTGCCTGCTCGGGCTGCGACCCGCAGCAGCGAGCGCATGCTCTGGGCCGCTCTCCGACGGCGAAGCGAGCGAGCGAAGGCGGATTTTGTCTCCATTAGGGTGCAGGGTGGATCGGCCGTATGCAAACACACTCTCTATCCGGTCGCCGAGTAGACTAGGACCGCTTTGCCCACTAATGCCTCTCAAATGCATCTTGGTGAGTGAGCGACACGTTTTTCCCACCCAAATTGTTCCTTCGATTACACCGCCGCTGACAACTTAATCTAAGTTTATTTTTGGACTCGAACAACTTTAAATTTCATGTACTCCAAAAGATAGATAATTTTGCTTTCAAAATAATAACATTTATTTAATTGAATTGTGGAAACTTAATTACATCAGGAAATTGTTTCATTTTGGAATGTGCGCTTTCCACACAAAAGCGCGGTCTAAATTTAGTTTCAGTGTAAATTTTGCCGTAATTGCTTTGCAAACTCTCTCCTCTAGTTTTGTAAACACTATTAAGTGAGGCGAAATCCCAGGGAGAATAATTATGCAATACGTCAAAGCCTTTTGTACTCACATTTCATTTCGCATCCTTCTCTGATAAAAAACTGAATAAGTATCGAGTGTCATTATTTGTCTCTCTTTGGAAGAAAATTTAAACTTCAAGAGCAACATAGCGTTCATCTGGAAAGGAATTTTCGCTCAATTTTGAATATGGAATGACGAATGACAAGCGAAGCCCGCGTTTTTACTTTTCATCAAAGGGCCAAATTCAATTCAATTTGTAAAGCGAAGAAACTCTACAAGGAATAAGAATTTTTTGTGCTACAAATTGGATTTTATGTTTGGGACGGGAACGGAATTCGGTAGCATTGGCTTGGCGTCCTAGCAAATTACTACTAAGTTGGAAATTGCGTTGAGCGGAAAATAAATTTCTTTGTTTATAATTTATCGCATTTTTTTTTATCAAAAAACTGCTCTGAGAAATCAGCCCAAAATTGTATTCCTTGCATCCGTGCAAAACGCGACCCGAATATTAAATACACCTTGGTTTTTCTTTTTCACAAAAAGGCCATATTTAACAATTTGGGCAAATCAAGTTTGTTCAAATGGAACCGGCGACGCTCATATGTTTTCATGCAGAAAGTGAAAATCTCAACTAATTTATTCTGTGCACAAACTTTCCCTGTCAGCAAGTATTAATAAATAGCACGAACGTGCCATTTTGGTGATTTTGAAAAACAGATTGAGCGTGAAACGAGGCGAGTAAATATTTCATGGATGAGCAAAAGTGATGAAATTAACACCAAAGGTTCAATTTCAGAATTCATTATACATTACACCTACAAACATTTGCTAAAAATAAAAATAAACCAAAATTGGATTGCAAGAAATACTTATTTTAAATAAAAAATAATTAGAAAATATTGAACAAAAATTTATATTGACACTTTTAAACTGAACTGTCACTCTTCTGCCGGATGTAATTAACCGTCAACTCTGATATCAAAGGCAGGCGAGCATAAAAAGTAATCATTGGGCGTCGAAATTCAACCACGAACTCTAATTTTGCTGCAAACACGCATCCCCCGGGGACGAAATTTCATTTCGTTTCACGCCTCAATTTCGACGCGCCCAATAAAGCATGTGTGACGTCCGCAAACAAAGTTACTGCTGGACTTCCACTTTTATTGGCAGCAGTCGATCGTTGGCTCACGCGAAATTTCTCTGCTGTGAAACGTTAAAATCCGCCTTCAACGTACACTGGCCCCAAATTGAGATGATTTCGCAACGACCACCCCAGTTAAACAAAGTCGGAGCAGGGGAGGAAACGGGCGAATTTCATACATAATTAACCGCCTGTTGCGCGAACAAATTATCCAAGTTGATTGGAAGCGGCGCGTGTTAATTAGATACACGGTGGTTTTGCTTATTCCATCATTTTGTTTGTTTACTTATAAATGGAAATTTGTGGTCATTAATTAACGAAGTTTGTAAATATTTAGATGCCATAAATATAAGTAATAAAACAATTATCAATTAATCAAAAACAACAAAAGTTTTATAAAAAAAAAAAAATGCGAGTAAATATTGTTAGCTACAATAATCAATGAGCAAAATTTTTTACTTAAAAAAGGGTAGAAAGATTGCAGTTTGCCAATGAAAAGTTTTATAACCTTTATTGGTATATTAAAATCAAATATTTACAACGATGATGGTTAAAATTGTCAATTGTGGTCCAAGAATCACCAATATTTGCCTCTATTTTAAAATGACACTTAATCTATGTGCCAATCAGAGGGCCATCTTCATACTACAGTGTAATGTATCTTATCTTATTGTTCATTCATAAGATTAACAATGAGCATTACTGTAAAATGAATTTTTAAGTCTTTTAAATCGATAATAAAGGAAAAATAAAGAAATTTAGTCTGTAACTCCACTAATCCTCTTTTGTAAAAAAGTTAAAGTGTTTAAATTATTTTACTCTAATCAATCATCTTAAGTGTATATCAATAATATTACATTCATTGGCACGCATGAAAAATTGAAATTCGATTGGGGGAAAATTTATTAACAGCAGAGAATAATCTATCATATCAGACAGGCGACCAATATAATACATTTCTGTCAAATAAATGCGTAGCAAAAACTTAGCTGAAGAGGAAATTAATTTTGTTTCGTCGCAAAAAGCAAGACTTCTTATCCCTATCTAAAATATATGCAAATGAAGCGTTGTAAACCGTTTTTCTCAAAAGAAAAATGCGAAAAAAAGTCACAAAGCAGTTCTTGTCAGGTCGAGTTCTTCCTCGAGGGCCCGCATTCAAAAAACTTTTCCTGCTATCTTGCCAGTTCAAAATAGTTTTCAAGCGAGTTTTCTGTTCTTGGGCGGGCTATGCAACCCGCAGGTACGTGGTGCCAGGCGAGATGCCTAGCCCGCGAATGTAAGGCGAAGCAATTATTTCCGCCACTTTGATCGAAATTTCGCGACCGGAAAATCTTTAGCGTTTGTAATTTGCAATTTGCGCCGAAAAATTTTCCGCTCGATCGATTCGCGGCTAAAAACGCCTTTTTCTTTCCACATCAGTGGGTAATTGGAGAAATCCGATTGCAGGCCCGTGTAGGTCAAAGGTAAATGCCGAAAAATCCCTTTGTCAGACTCATTACGAGGGCAACAAGCCCTTGGGCTGCTCAAAGCCACTGGATTCTTTCTTTCTTTCTCTTTGGTACATCTGGTGGAATTTCACAGGCTATTTTCGGAGCAGATTGACGACTGATTGAGAAAAACGCTGAAGGGTGCTCCAGCGCAATATTCGCGCATCGCATTCTCGCTTGCTCACTAACCACTTCTTTCAAAAGAATCACGTTGTTTCAATTTGGCTTCCAATTAAAACTAACCAAGCCTGAATTCCAAGAAAAGACTTCTAGCGCTAAAAAAAATTATCAATTATAGTGGTGAAATGCTAAGAAATATATTTTTGAAATTGTAACAAAATGTTTATCTAAAAATTATGGAAATATAGCGTTAATTAACTGGAAAACATAATGTTAAAAAATAATTTATAATTTTCATTTTTTCAATAATTGTTTATAAATGTGCAAAATTTAATTTCTTTATAGTAGAACCGTATCGATCTAATTGATTTGTATAGTTCACATTTCTTGAATTTTGTCTAGAGACGAAAAGAGCTTTTTTCGTTTTTTGTCAATAAATTAATTGTAAGATAATTTTATTATATGTCTTAAATTAGAATTTTTATTTTTTTTTATTGAAAATGCTGTAAACAATGAACACATTTTATAAAATTTCCATAAAGCAAAATCTTACTGAAAATATTCTCAATCTTGTTTAATCACTTTTTCAAAAGATTAAGTTCTGAATTGAATATTTTGATGCTACATTATTGTAAATACTTATTTACATTGAAAAGGGCTTTTTCAAAAGGCTTTGTATATGCTCTTACTTTCAAATTTATAACTTCATAAAGAACTTTAAATCTGAACTTTAACAGATAATTTTTTGAGAGAATCTCCATTTGCTATGATTTATTCTTTAAATGAGTATATAATAAATATAACCTATTTTTTATATTTGTCGTTTTAAAAACCTTTTGGTTCGACTGATATTAATTTTTTCGGTTTCTGTCAAAATCAAAATTCTAGCCTAAAACGTCAAAATATTGGTGAATCACAGATTTGATCTCTTTTGTTCTGCTCTGTCCCCTTCACCCTCCCTCTTCCGTGAAGTGCCCTTTTCAATTCAGGCTGAATTGTTTCGCGGCAAATAATGCTCCCAAATAAAAATCACTTGAACCAACGCACAAAAATGAAAAAAAGCAAACGCACTTGCGTTGAGAACAAATTTCTGCCAGACTAAATCAATACCATGACCGAAATAACAAACACACCTGGACTAAATTTTGCTGAAACACTTTTTTGCCTGGCGATATATCTGGTTCGAAATTTATTCCGTTCAAAATTAAATTTCCACAGCTCCTGGCTAATGAGTAATGTTATTTCACAACTGGCTGGAATTCACATCTGCATTTTTTTTACTGATGGAAAAATTCGATGAATATCGAACAGATTTTCCAATACAAAAGCTCGGTACCTTCGATTAAAATGGCGACAGGAAAATTGAATATTCCCGAGCACAATGGAAAAATCAAGCGGTCTCTGTGGCTCAAAAGTATTCTCGACCTTTGTTGTAATCTCCGGCGTAAATGGATTTCAACCCCCAGTTAGTCTGATTGCCGGAGTTTCTTGTGTTTGTCTTTCATTTTGCTCGTCGAGTTTAATTAAAATTTCTCCTGTTCAAGCACAAAAGAGGAAACTTTTATAACTAGTTTTTATCAAACGTTTCAGATTCATAATAAAGCTGCATAATTTCCACACGAATGTTGAAACGCAGATAAGTTTTAATGAAATTTACTGGAACGAGCTTGCAAAATTCGTCCATAAATAATGCATTTATCAAGAAATCCTTCAATTCCAATTCTTACCTGGCGGGAACGGTCAAAGATTCCTGGAAAAAACAACAGAAAAATTAAATCTGGTGGCATGAAACAAATCAAAATGTAGACACGTCAAACATCATTCCATTTTTATTTTTCGAGTCGTTACACATTGTGAACGAATGTTTCAAAAGAAAAAAAATGTACTTTTGTACCTCTGAGGTGTTGAAAGAAGGTCTCTGATGAGATTCAACAT